ACAAACTATGGAGTTGTTACTTTATGCACAATCTTATGTGATCATATACATCATGCTAAGCGTTTGGGTTGAGAATGACTCTCAGCTACTACCACCAAATTTGGGCTCAATAACTGTAAAACTGACTGAGTTACAGCTATTTTTATGTTTTGGCAACATGGATTAGCTGTGGTGGCCATCTTGAATTAGGTTAATTCCCAAAGGTAAACATTTTTAGCCGTCCAACCATTGCTTACTTTCTTAAAGTTTCATCAAAATCTGTTCAGTGCTTCATGAAATATTTTGCTAACAGTCAAACAGGGTTTTCTGCAAAAAGTTAATGGCAAATTTTTAAACTAAAATTTTGTGCAATCTATTAGTTCTCAGCAAGTGTGTTTGGGATCAGTCTCAGCTACTACCACAACAAATTTTAACTTAATATCTGCAAAATTGGATGATTTATAGCAGGGCTATTCAACTGGTGCTTCATCCATCCATCCATCCATTTTGCGTGGGGTGTTCTGGGTTTGGTTTTCGGGTTCTGTTTATTGCATTCATGATTCAATGCAATAAAATAATAAAATTTAAAAAGTAACAGATCATTGTAATACTTGGTTTATCTACATAATGACTTTAATTGCTGCAGCACGATGGTGCAACTGGTAGAGCTGTTGCCTCTCAGCGAGCAGGTCCTTGGTTCAAATCCCAGTCCAGGGGCCTTTCTGGGTGGAGTTTGCATGTTCTCTCCGTGCATGTGTGGGTTTTCTCCAGATACTCCAGTTTCCCCCCACAAACCAAAAACATGCATGTTAGGCTGATTGGTAACTCTAAAATGTCCCTAGGTGTGAGTGAGAGAGTGAATGGTTGTTTGTCTCATTTGTCTCTATGTGTCCCTGTGATGGACTTGCGACCCGTCCAGGGTGTACCCCGCCTCTCACACAGTGACTGCTGGACATGGGCACCGGCGACCCCTGTGACCCAAAATGGAATAAGCGGGTAAAGATAATGGAAGGATGGATGGATGGATGTTTCTCCAGCTTTTGCAATTTTCAAAATAGTTTGTGGTTCATGAAACGTCTTGATAACACACACACACACACACACACACACACACACACACACACACATGCAGAGACGCGGGTAAAAATATTATGGTCCACCTTCACCTTTCAGTGGCAGGAGATAAATGTAAACTCTGACATTAAAGTGTGCAACTCTCCCCTCAGTAGCCTCACATCTTCTGTGGCCTCCGTCAGCCCTCTCCATCAGGTCAGCAGCTTGGTGTGAGTCTGCATACTGGGTGGATCAAGCTCACTGCTCTCTCCACTTTCTGCTGACCTGCGGTGCATTTGTTGGCTGGACATCTTTTTGAGTCTCTGCTACCACATATGGGTTTGCAAAAGTGGTCCGTGTGGCTGAAAGGAAATTGGAGCCATTTTAAAAAAGGCTGGGGGGTCAGTGGGTCCTCTGGGAGATAGTTTGTGGTTAATGCTCTTTTTTTGACTGCAAACCTCTTTATGGAACAAATATCTTTAACTTGTGCAGAAGGTGAGTTTTAGCTGATATTAAGGAAGACTGCATGCCCCAACGTTGTGCTGATGACAACCTGCATGCCAAAAAGATTAAAGGATCTCTTGAAATAACCAAAACAATGATGTTATTATAGTTAAAAATGTTTTTCAAATTCATGGAATTTTGGGAAAACTGCATCAGTTCTCTTGCCGATAGAAATTTCTCCTGTATTTCAGCTGAATAAATATTCTGAAATAAAATATTTAGGGAGAAGATTGCACACTACATTCATATTGTTTTAATGTAATATAAAAGCAACCTTTTGTTACACAGTGCATAAGAAAAAGAATAAGCTGCAAAACCTCCTAGTAAGCAGAAACATTCTATGTTTATAGTTCCTGCTTGAATTGTCATTTTGACATAACTTGTTTTTTTCATTATCAGATGCAATAAACATTACAGCTAAAGCACCAACATTTTGCCTGTTTGGTGTTAAAATTAAATAATGGTTTGTTTGTTTGGTGGTTTTATTTTGAACATGTTTACCATATACAGACAATCATTTTAAGGAAAGAAGAAAGAAACAAAATGGTAAAGATAAACCTACATTAAATTAAGAAGTGCACAAGTATTGCTGCACTTTTTGTTTAGCTCACATGTTGAAAGGCGTGGGAAGAAGAATGTACTTATTAATACGTTATTGCTTTTTTGGACAATTTTTCTTGTATAATAATGTAAATATTCTAAGTAATACTTCATAAGCATAATTAACATCTTTTTTTTTCTGACATATTTCCTCCCAGTTCTGTTGCACTAAGTCCTGTTTAAATGTAGTTAATTATTCTTCAGCTCCTTTACACCTCTATTCTTCTTTTGGTCCAGTTTGATAATCTTATAGTTTCTCTTACTGACTATAAAACATGAAGATAGTCAGTGCTATAATTTATCAGAACCCCAACTGATGCATTATTTCCATGTTATTTTAATTATATTGTCCTTCAGAGTGTGATTCTGGTAGGCCTGGTTATTTTAGGGAACAGGTTCATACAACGTATTGCTACGATTTTGTCTGTCATTTTAAGCTTATTTGGATTTAGTGTCAATACTGAAGTCTCCACAATTGAATTTTTTTGTTGTTGCTCATTCCTGAATACGTTTCCTGCATCCAATCTTTTAAGGCCTCAACACAACAGGGGCGGCTGTGGCTGAGTGGTTAGAGTAGTCGTCCTCCAATGCAAGAGTTGGGGGGTTGATTTCACCAGCAGTCACATGTCGAAGTGTCCCTGGGCAAGACACTGAACCCCCCTTGCCTCCGATGTGTGTCCCATTGATGTATGAATATGATAAAACACTGATTATTCTTTGTACAGAAATAGTAGAGTGTGCTGTATGAATGGGTAAATGAGAGCACAGACTGGAGTGTAAAGCACTTTGAGTATCTTGATAAGGTAGAAAGGGATATATAAGTACAGTCCATTTACCATTTACTACCTGGAGCTCTACATATACAACTAATGATTTCATTTTTGTTTTCATTATAATTTTCAACTCTTATGCATTCCAAAGCATTGTCAATTGCTACTGTCATTCAGTCAACGTTTATTTAGACAGATAAGTCACAATGAGCCTAGAAGACTCCTTAACAAGTGAGGTCTGTCATATCATCTCGCGTCTTATATTTCAAATGTTTGTCTGCATACAAGGTCATTCCTCCTCCATCTTTATTTTGTTAGTTCTCATAACTTGACTCATAGCCCTTCAGTTCAAAATCTGTTCCTTTGTCTGTATTAATCCAAGTTTCAGACATAGCAACGATACTAAATGGTTGTAATTATGACCTGAATTTATGTGTGTTGACTTAAGACTATGCTGTAAAAACAAACCTACAGACTGTAACCAGTAAAAATCTTTCAATCCATGTGTTTTGGTGGATTTTCACACCACAATTTACAAAAATATTGCATTTTAAATGTACGATAAAATAAATCGGCAGGATTATCTTGAGTGTCCTATTATACTAGTTAAGTATTTACAATAAATATCAAAGTTTATGTTCAATAATCCAGATATAAAATCCAACAAATTTAATTCATGTCCTCTGGACAGTTTCTTTTATTTTGTTGAAACGTTTCGTCCTTCATCCAAAGGACTTCATCAGTCTGAGGAGATGACCAGGTCCAGATGACCTGACTTAACTTTGTTATATTTACAATAAACTGTGACTGATTAACTTTTTGGAAGGTGAATTTCCTTTGGAAGAAGTGATAAATTCTTTGTTTCCTCTTTGTTAATCCAGTTTCAAGGACTTAATCTTAAAGTTAGCATTGTCCATAAGGGTAGAGATTTTTCTGCATGTCAACTGAGTCTTGTTAAAGAAATTATTTTAAAATGACACAAAATAAGTAAATTATTTGCACGAGTTGTGCATCAGTTATGCTTGTACTGTATGTGTTTTTCCATGTTGTATTATAAAGTTGAAATTTATTTATCTTCTGCTACCACAGTTGCACCATTCAAATAGTTCATTTAATCAGTGGTACGATTTTTGCAATATTCATGGGTGAATTGTAAATTATAATATTTGCACAGGTGAGTTGATTAATTATTTGTAATTATAGAAAACTCATTCCTCAAACTTCGTACGACATTTTCATGACATGTTAAGCAATACATGTTTTTAAAGTCTTGCTAAATACAAAGGTGAACTCCATATGTTACAATAAACACAGAAAGTTGAACCATTAAAATATGTCTAGTTTATTGCAAGGTTGGAAGGTAAATTTAGGCAAACATGATTTTTTGTGAATTTGTAATTGATGTTTAGTAAATTGGAAAGATATGGTATGCTCCTACACCTCATGTTGTATGAACTAATGTGTCTACAAGCCTTATTTGTTTAGTCTATTACAGTGTGTGTCTGAGAGCTGCTCTCCATCCTGTAAGTTGACATTCCATGATGGGTTTATGAGAAGATTACTGCTCTGCTGTTGACATCCATCAGCAGGCAGAGGCTTTGGGTGGGAGACAGCAGTTGTGTGTGTATTTGTGTGTGTATGTCTGTGTGTGTCATATGAAACCCATTGGCAGGTCAGGCTAAGCAGGATCCTCTCATGATAAGCCTTTATGCCTCAGAGACTCGAGCACATGATGCTATAGACTGAATTATTAGGTTCTTGTTCTGTTGTGAGTGACCTTCTCATGCATTTGCACATGGGACGCTATAGACTAGCTGTTCCCAGTGTTTTCATCATCATCATCTTGGAGCTGGGTTCATCTCGTAAACTAAACTTGTTTTTATCTGAATGTAGACTCTGTCCTTTAATTAACTTTGAGCTTTGTACCCCTGATATATTAGGTCTACTAAAGTTTAAAGCTGTAATTTTCCTCACAATGTTTAATTGTGTAAAAGCAACTGATTTGACTAATTTCTTTATCTTTATATCCTTTTTTCATTTTATTCCTTCTCTCTCATTCATCTATTCTCGTTTTTTGTTCTTTTCTTTGTCCAGGTGCCAGGTCCAGTGATTCAACCCCAGACAGGACACCAAGGAAGTGACAGAAAAAGGGTGCCATGGGGGTTAGCCTGGGACAGGAAGTAAGCTGGCCTTTCCTGTTCTTGCTGCTCATGATCACAATGTCTTCCATCCAAAGCCAAGGATGCCCTCAGCGTTGTGAGTGCATGGCCAAGCTGAAGGCCGTGTCCTGTAATGGAAAACGTCTTTCTGCACTGCCAGATGGAATCTCACTAGACACCAAGGTCTTGGACCTAAGTGGGAATAAACTGCGCTGGATAGAGCATGGCGACCTGCTTCCATATACACGTCTGGAGAAGCTGGACCTAAGCGATAACATGATCAGTGTCCTGGAGCCCAATGCTTTTGCTAGTCTTCAGAACTTGCATTCACTTTCACTGAGGGGTAACCAGCTAAAGCTGGTCCCCATGGGGGCTTTCTCACGTCTCTCCAACCTAACTTCACTGGACCTAAGTGAAAATAAAATTGTAATTCTTTTAGACTTCACTTTCCAAGACCTAAAGAGTCTAAAGAACTTGGAGGTTGGAGACAATGATCTGGTTTACATATCAAATAAAGCCTTTCTTGGTTTAGTGGGACTCCGAGAGCTGACAATTGAAAGGTGCAACCTGACTTCAGTGTCCAGCCAGTCATTGTCCTACCTGCATAACCTCGAGACTCTTCGGCTCCGCTACCTCAGTATTATCACCTTGGAGGATCAGAATTTCAGAAAGCTGGGAAACCTGAGGGGTCTGGAGATTGATCACTGGCCCTTTCTTGAATATATCTCTCCCCACAGCTTGCAGGGTCTTAATTTGTCTTGGTTGTCTATCACACACACCAACATCACCTCTGTGCCCACCTCTGCCCTCCGCAGTCTGGCTTACCTCACCTCCCTCAACCTGTCCTACAACCCTATCTCTGTGCTGGAGTCCTGGGCTCTGCGGGACCTCCTCAGGCTCAAAGAGCTGCATCTAGTCAATACTAACCTTGCTAGAGTACAGCCTTACGCACTTGGTGGTCTCAGGCAAATTCGCCTACTTAATTTTTCGACAAACAGCTTGGTGACCCTGGAGGATGGAGCCTTTCAGTCTGTCAACACTCTGGAGACGCTGCGTTTGGATGGAAACCCCCTGGCCTGTGACTGCCGCTTGCTCTGGATTCTTCAGCGCAGGAAGACTCTTAACTTTGACAATGCCCCTCCAGTGTGTATGACACCCGTTGAGGTGCAAGGACGGGCTCTTAGCGCGTTTTCTGACTCGGCTCTCTTTGATCACTTCACCTGCCAGAAGCCCAAAATACGCAACAGGAAGTTGCAGCAAATATCTGCCCGAGAAGGCCAAGTAGTCTCATTCATCTGCAGAGCAGAAGGTGAACCAACCCCTGCCATTTTCTGGATTTCTCCACAGCGCCGCCGCATAACCACAAAAAGTAGCGGCCGACTTATTGTGTTACCAGAAGGCACGCTGGAAATACGGTATGCCCAAGTAACAGACAGTGGAACATACATCTGCATAGCCAGCAACGCTGGTGGAAATGACACCTACTTTGCTACCCTCACAGTAAGTGGGCTGCCTCTAGACGCAGCCCTCATGTCCAACCGTACGTATTATGCTGGGGACCTTAATGACACAAATCTGAACGATACCAGAGTTTTCTTGAAGTTTACTCTTGACCTGAAGACCATCCTCATATCGACAGCGATGGGCTGCATCATGTTTCTGGGAGTGGTCCTGTTCTGTTTCATTCTGCTCTTTGTGTGGAGTCGAGGGAGAGGGCAGCACAAGAACAATTTCTCCGTAGAGTATTCTTTTAGAAAAGTGGATGGACCCGCAACCAGTGGGGGACAAGGAGGAGCACGCAAGTTCAACATGAAAATGATCTGATTGCTCAGAATTTCTATTTTTTAGTCCCTAAAACGGTTTCACAAACTAAGGCACAAAGTGACACAGCAGATAGTAAAGTAGACTCTTGTGTTACGAAAACATTACAATTAATCATTTCAGAGACCTTTTTTATACCAAGACAAACTTTTGTTATTGAAAACCAACTGTATGCATGCATAAAGGTGTTGCTTTCACATACTTCTACTGCTCTTTGTTGTGTTCACAGAATGGTGCATTAAAACTGAATTAAACCTTAATAAGTATGAACGTTTAAATAGACTGTTATAAGACCAATCTTCAAGTCCACTTATTGTCCCACAGCTCCTGCCAACTCAGAACTGTATATTTTACAAGGAACTCCATCTTCCTCACCTACTGAGGACTTAATACCTCTCAACTCCAGTTGAGAGGATTTAAACGATGTCTCCAAACTGACGACACCATCATTTCAAGGTTGTGCTTAGTGATTGCCAAGAATTGCCATTATACATTTGGATGATTTCACTCGTTTCATGCATATATTTTAACTGATATGTGGTCTTTAAAGTCTTGCTAATGAATGCGTTTTGCTGAAGGATTTCTACCAAGATACCACTCATTGCATCACTGCCAATTTGACCACAAAACACCGTGTGATTTTTACAGTCCATCTGTCAAAGTTAATGATTTTTTTTTTTTTTACGCTGAAGTGAGATTCCACAGGATAAGCTCTAAAAAGGGGCTCAAGTGCACAACTGTGTGGTGACAAAAATCACACAGACATGTTTTGTAGTTACATTTTTCATTGTTGATCTGTAAATCTGTACTTGTGGAAAAATCCAAAATGAAAACAGTAAAAATGAAGATTTGCTCCGTACTTTGAATAATTTATACACATCTATTTATAAACTAAACAGCTGCAGAGCAGAGGTGCATTTATCACCAAAGTTGTACAAATGGTACATTGAACTGTACAAGATGTAACATATATATTTTATAATCACAGAGTTTAAATTCCTTGTTGTTGTTTAAATTACTGTTTTGTGAGATTAGGCTGATTTTACCATTATTAAACTGTAAAGGTTTCCTTTTGGTGTCAGACATAGAGTGTACTAACAAACAGCACTTTAAGTTTGCAACTGCATCCTCATAAAAGCAGTGAAACATGCTCACTGTCACATGCAAATCATGAAGGACATTTACTCTGCGGCAGGTTTCACTTCAGTTTCCTATTTTTGGACAGCATAGGTGGGGAGGTTTGCTGAGCAGCGGGTGAAAGACTTTGGTTTGTTCACAACAGGACTTCAATAGACTCATGCAGGGAAAATGTTAATGTATTTAAGACCTTGCACAAAGGTCATTGTGAAAGTGAGCCGAGAGGAAAATGAGTACCGATGTTCTTAGAAATAGACACAACAAAGGGCTGCCTAGTAAATTTAAATAACTTTAGGCAAATGCCAGGTGAATATTATATCACTCCAGGCAGAAAGGATTCTGAAGATTTTATTAGGATGTAAACATTTAATTTAGAATTTAAGTCCTAATGCTGCTGATGCTCTTCTAATCAAAAATTGTCTTGTTTTACTACAATGATCACAAAACCAACAGTGTTGCTCTGCTGCCTCCTGTTGGCTCAAACCTGTAAGTTACTTTCACTAACCTATGGGGAAAATGTGTTGGTTTTCTGAGTGGACCTGAAATATGTTCTTCTCTCACTTCATTTTGAATTCTCCATAAACTGCACAGCAGATTCACTAGCAACATCGTGGATGAGCGGTGAGTATGTTGGACTGCTTAAAGACCAGCTAATCTTCCTGTTTGTTTTTACTGTGAACATTTCAGACATTTCTGTGTTTTGGACTAAACTCTTTGTGTAATTATGGAAACCACTGTGTCTGCAGATTGTGCGTCACCATTTTGTATCGCAATGTTTTATAAAGATTAAAAACATTGTTTTAGACGCCTGCAGTATTACTGTATACATTTTGTGTCATCGTGCAGCACTTTCTGATACGATCGTGACTTTTTTCCTCCATTTTTGCAGCTTTTATTTGTTTTTTTAGTGTTTGTGGAGGCAATCTAAAAACTATAATGATCGAGTTCGGTAGACCTGTGACACCCCCCCCCCCCCCCCCTGTGAACCATCTGCTACAATTTTGTTTCCATTTTTCTGTATTTCCGCAGGATGTGTCCTGTTGTAATTTAAAAATAAAAATGATCTGTTTGCTACCTTAACACACTCATACCCAATTAATGGACACAGATGTTCTTATTATAAATCATTTAGGTGAAAAATGTAAAAATGATGCGTATGCAGGGGATTTTTGTCCAAAGGGAAGAGGGCATCAATGTTTCGCCCATGTCTACGTGTGCATTTCTGAATATCCTATGAATCACTAGATGAATTGTAATGAAAATCTCAGTAAACAATCACTGGACAAACATCTAAAAATTAGGTTTTTGAGGTACTATTCAAGATGGCCACCACAATCATCTGACCTTATCAAACTCAAAAGTGGTCATAACTTTGTGTTGTTGTTGGGGGGGGGGGGGGGGTTTGTTCGTTTTTTTTTTTTTTTTAATAAATGTTGAGCTAATATTTTGTGTGTTTGTAGCCAAAAATCAATCCCAATAGATACTCCTAGAACTACACATTCTGACATATTTTTTTTACTTTGGATTCTGACAATAACTATTGGCATCATCTCTGTCTGTGAAAAAAATATCTCCTGAAATATTCGATGGATTTTAATTAAACATTTGAAATATAATCAGTAGATATACAACTCATTAATACTGAGTCAACCAAAACCCCAAGATGACCACGTCAGTGAAATGACTTTAGCCAACATAAAAAATGACTACATCTCATCAGTTTTACAGATATTGAGCTAAAATTTGGTGTGGTAGTAGCTGAGAGCCATTCACAGCATTGTCTTAGTGGTAACACATCCCACAATGTCTCCGTCATTGTTGGTGAAGGATTTGGACCCAAAAATCCAGACCAACACCAAGAGCTTGAATAAAATAAAATGGTTTACTAAACAGAAAACAAAAGGCTGTTGTGGCAGCAAGGAACTTATAAAGTCAAAGGATTCACAGCGACCACAAAGGAGACTGGAGACTGTGGAGTGTAAGCCAGTAATGAACTGCTGATATGAAGGCAGGCAACTGAATATATAGAGCAGACGTAATGAGGGATTGGAAACAGCTGAACTGATTGGAGAACAGGTAAAAGTGGCAAGTTGACAAAATCAAACACTGAGGAAGCGGACAGGATGGAAATAAGAAATGACACAGGGAACAAAGGGAGCTGAACAAACAAGAAAAACAACTCTAACATAAAGCGCATAAATGCAGATGGGACAAGATCTAAACTGGGAGAGAAAAGAGCTGAAAACATGAGAATAATCAGGTAAACGCAATAATCCCAAAATATAAATCAAAACCTGATATAAAACACAAATAACCGAAATACACAGACATGACATTATTATAATACAATACAATACAATATAATTTAATACAATAATACAGGAGTTTAAAACTTTCCATGAAGGGCTTCAGGTGAAATGCATTCTTTCTAGAAATGCAGGGCCTACTATTATAGATTATTAGCATTAATCACTGTATTTTACTCAGCAGTTTTGATACAAAACTTGAAAACACTTTTCTGCAATGACCTACTAAAATTCTATGTAGATTATGATTTTTTTTAAACGTTATATTATACTGTACTTCAAGACGTTCATCACACAACTTTTATCATTCCGAAACAAAATGAAGAAAGTATGTACTTTTGATGTATCCACTCGGTTGTTTGAGCATTTTTAAGTTTTTTTTGTTTGTGTCATGGAAGTTATTTTTACTTTCATTCTCTGAAAAGCACATTTTTGCCTGCAATCATTATAGTTTTGTCAAACTTGTACATATAAGCTTCTGATGTTTTAAGTTCTGGTGAGTGGGATGTACTCTTGTCTGGCAGTTTAATAAAAATTATGGTGACTGAGAAAATTGCAATGAGGATAGAGTTTCCCTCATTAAACAACTTAAAACTAAAACTGAGAAAACACCTATATCTTTTTCATGCAGTTTTGCTCTAATTGAAAATAATTGTAAATATAATATCACTTTTCAAAAAACAGATGATCAAATATTTTCATGCTCTAAAAAGCTCGCTATTAATCTAGTGGTTCACTGTGCAGAAAGTTTGAAACTGTTGGAGAAAAATATTCTCGCTCTTACTCAAAAGGAGCCACACTGACGACAGAAGATTTTTAAATAGATTTACTTGCAAGGACAGATTTTCAGGACAGGTTACACAGATATACAGGAAGTACATGCATGAAGATCAGTCACGAGAATCTGTGACGAGCAGTGTGAGAAGCTTGTTTATATATTTTATCAGTTCAGCCGAGCTCACAGACTCGGAGGCCTCCTTGAAGTAACAGCTGCATGCTGTAGACTCCCTGCTCCTCATTTCAGCTCTCTCTACTAACCCAAACATGTGGTTCATGGGCAGAGGTAACATTATCAGTCATAAAAAATCCATAAACTTTGACCAAAAATTCCCTAAATCACCCTTCATATCTTTAGGGTTTGCTTCCGAGGAGAGAAACTCTTTTAAAATCCTTTAAAATCCTTCAAAACCATTTAAATCAACTATGATCAATAGTTTGTCAAGCTTTCTGAAGGCATTTCAAAACAAAAGTTCTGGACTTTTGCTGTTTTTAATTTTTTAATTTTATTTTTTTTAATAATTCTCAGTCCTGAATATTTTCATTAAAATGGTTTTGTTTAATTAACCTTTTTAAATCAGATCCATACATTTTTCAGACATAAATGGGTAAACCATTGTCGTGTTGACACGTGTGAAACAACATAAGCATTTTATTTAGCATTTTTGGACTCTCAACCAACAGCTTGTCACAAAAACACAATTTGTTCACATGAATTTACTTAAATATATGAATAAACTGAAGGATGATCCATTTCTCAGGTCATGTGTCAGGTTTTGGTTTTGCCATTTTCTCAAGGACATGGCTTTCAAATAATTTTCATCTGCTGTTGCTAGTTTTTTCATATTCTCATTATTATCTCCTTTACTTGTTTTCTTAAAGCACATTGCACAATGTGTTTTTACTGTAAAGTATATTGAAAAAAATCTTCCCCAGCATGTTGTAAAGTACAATTACCGGACAAAAGTGACTAAATGAGC